ATTGTGACGACACTATTATCAGCAAACGCCATTCGATTGACGGTTGGTTGTAAAGTTAAGACATTAGAGTAGATCACACTGAGGCCATCAATGTCAGATCTTTTATTGACCGATTTCGGTTCCAAGAAGATCTCCACCATTTCCAAAGTTGCTCTTTTGTTGTAGTTGCTCTCTCTATGGAGAATTTTCGCTCCAACAAAGTTAACATCGTGATCCATTTGGTTAGAGTGTGTTGCTAATGAACAGGTGTTCTTATTGAGTCTGCAATCACTCTTGTGTGACGTAATTCTATCTTTAAGTACTCGCGATGTCTGTCCTATGTATACCTGATCACACTGATTACAGGGGATGCTATAAATTACTTCTGAATTCTTTTGTACCTCATCCTTATCTTTTAGTTTGCTAAAGGCACTCCCCAATGTTTTTGTTTGTTTATATGCTATCTTAATATTTGTTTGTGCTCTCAGAATTTTTGTGAGTGTGGTCGTTAATTCTTTAATGTATGGCAATGAAAAATAAAAACATCTTTGATCGTCCATTTCTGGGCTATCTGAGTGGACGCCCGTGTTCCGCGGGTTTGGAGCTCTTAGTGGGGTCGTGCTATATAACAATTTTTTAGTTAACCTACTTGGGTATGAGTTGTTAATCAGCATGTCGTAAAGCTTATTAAGATTTTTTTGTCTTAGTGATGGGTGAGAAATCCTCTCGATTCGTGTCTTTAATGCTATGACCAAATTTATTTTTGTTTTCGTTGTATGGTAAGAGTGGAAATTCATATATCTCCCCGAACTGGTCGGTTTTATGTACCAATCTAATATAATTTTGTTATCGTTGTTACGGATCACTTTAGTGTCCAGAAATGGTACGCTTTTATCAATTTCCTCCTCTACTGTAAATTGTATGTGTGCATCATAGCTGTTAAACACTGTGAGAGTTTCCCTCACGCAACTTTCAGGTATGGAAGTAATTATATCATCCACATATTTTTTCAGAAATGGTAACTGAAACGACAGCTTATCTACGCACACCTCAAGTAGGTCATCCATAACGTATTGAGCTAATATTGGAGAAATGATGGCACCCATCGGTGTACCTAATTTTTGTTTGTAAAATTCATTGTTAAATCTAAAATACGTTGTATCAAAGACAAACTGAAGTATCTTTAGGAAACTAATTTGTGACAAATCAGTGTGGTTTCTAATTCTGTTCCAATGTTTTTTTATACTTTTTTCTACCAAATTATATGGAATATTACTAAATAAAGAGACGACATCCAAGCTCACAAGAACATAGTTATTAGGTAATTGTTTGTCATTGATAAATGAAGAAAACTCAAATGAATCACCTGTGAAATAATCATTATTCTTATTATATGCTTTGGTTAAAACCTGAGTCAACAATGAAGCCAGTTTACTGTTCGGAGCATTAATTGATGAAATTATCGGTCTTAAGGACAATTGGGGTTTATGTATTTTGGGTAAGCCATAAAATTTAGGACAAGTTTGATTATATATATTTAAAGTTTTGGCTACCTCATTTGTTAATTGTTTTTGATCTTTTAATGACTTGACAAGTTTGTTAGCTTTTTGTTGGTAAGTAGATGTAGGATCACATCTGAGACGCTCGTAATAGGTCCGATCCATCAGAATTTCGTTTGATTTTTGAATGTATGTATCTTTAGACATAATAACTGTCACATTCCCTTTATTGGCCCTAGAAACGACCAACTCAGCGTGATCCTTAAAAAATTTTTTTGTCTTTTTTAACAAAATGTCTATATAGCTACGCTTTGCCGGTTGTTTTAAAAAATTACTCAATACATTAGTAAACTTAGCTCTTACAGTATTTTTTGCGTTCTCTGGTACAACTTTAATTATAGTTTCTACATCAGCAATTAAACGTTTGACTGAGATTTCATTGCAACTTGGTGGCACGGAAAATTTCGAACCTAAAGAGAGAAACCTCAAGACATCATCCGGGACCTCAACCTCTGAAATATTCTTAACCCAATTATCTTGTGTTTTGATTGTTAAGTGATGCTGTTGCGACTTCAAGTTTTGAAATTTGTTTATGTTCTTTTTTTTGATGGTTTTGAATTTTTTATCACATGACCCTTGTTGTCTTTTACCAAATTCGTCAACAACATCACCCGGAATCAATGTCAAAACTTTCTCTCTTACTTGTTTCAGTGATTTTTCTATACGATTGATAGTTGAAATAGTGAGTGATATTTCTAAATTAATTAATTTGTTATTCAACCTGGTATTGAAATCCCGAATGCGGTCCCCCATATGTCCATCGGTCAAATCCAAAAGCATGCCCAAGTTTCTGGTCCCGTCTGTAATGTGTCTTGGTATGATCCCTGTCTGTCTGCATTTGAGTAAGAATATCTTCCTGTTTCCAAACGATGATAGTTTGCTGCCGAGCCTGGCCCATTGTTTGAGCAGTGAAACTGCTTCGTTTCCATATCGAGCTTTTATTGATTGGAAAAACCCCATTCCTGTAAAATACACAAAACGGTAGTCGTTTAATTGCTGATGTAGAAACTATAATTAAAGTTGTACCAGAGAACGCAAAAAATACTGTAAGAGTTAAGTTTACTAATGTATTGACTAATTTTTTAAAACAACCGGCAAAGCGTAGCTATATAGACATTTTGTTAAAAAAGACAAAAAAATTTTTTAAGGATCACGCTGAGTTGGTCGTTTCTAGGGCCGATAAAGGGAATGTGACAGTTATTATGTCTAAAGATACATACATTCAAAAATCAAACGAAATTCTGATGGATCGGACCTATTACGAGCGTCTCAGATGTGATCCTACATCTACTTACCAACAAAAAGCTAACAAACTTGTCAAGTCATTAAAAGATCAAAAACAATTAACAAATGAGGTAGCCAAAACTTTAAATATATATAATCAAACTTGTCCTAAATTTTATGGCTTACCCAAAATACATAAACCCCAATTGTCCTTAAGACCGATAATTTCATCAATTAATGCTCCAAACAGTAAACTGGCTTCATTGTTGACTCAGGTTTTAACCAAAGCATATAATAAGAATAATGATTATTTCACAGGTGATTCATTTGAGTTTTCTTCATTTATCAATGACAAACAATTACCTAATAACTATGTTCTTGTGAGCTTGGATGTCGTCTCTTTATTTAGTAATATTCCATATAATTTGGTAGAAAAAAGTATAAAAAAACATTGGAACAGAATTAGAAACCACACTGATTTGTCACAAATTAGTTTCCTAAAGATACTTCAGTTTGTCTTTGATACAACGTATTTTAGATTTAACAATGAATTTTACAAACAAAAATTAGGTACACCGATGGGTGCCATCATTTCTCCAATATTAGCTCAATACGTTATGGATGACCTACTTGAGGTGTGCGTAGATAAGCTGTCGTTTCAGTTACCATTTCTGAAAAAATATGTGGATGATATAATTACTTCCATACCTGAAAGTTGCGTGAGGGAAACTCTCACAGTGTTTAACAGCTATGATGCACACATACAATTTACAGTAGAGGAGGAAATTGATAAAAGCGTACCATTTCTGGACACTAAAGTGATCCGTAACAACGATAACAAAATTATATTAGATTGGTACATAAAACCGACCAGTTCGGGGAGATATATGAATTTCCACTCTTACCATACAACGAAAACAAAAATAAATTTGGTCATAGCATTAAAGACACGAATCGAGAGGATTTCTCACCCATCACTAAGACAAAAAAATCTTAATAAGCTTTACGACATGCTGATTAACAACTCATACCCAAGTAGGTTAACTAAAAAATTGTTATATAGCACGACCCCACTAAGAGCTCCAAACCCGCGGAACACGGGCGTCCACTCAGATAGCCCAGAAATGGACGATCAGAGATGTTTTTATTTTTCATTGCCATACATTAAAGAATTAACGACCACACTCACAAAAATTCTGAGAGCACAAACAAATATTAAGATAGCATATAAACAAACAAAAACATTGGGGAGTGTCTTTAGCAAACTAAAAGATAAGGATGAGGTACAAAAGAATTCAGAAGTAATTTATAGCATCCCCTGTAATCAGTGTGATCAGGTATACATAGGACAGACATCGCGAGTACTTAAAGATAGAATTACGTCACACAAGAGTGATTGCAGACTCAATAAGAACACCTGTTCATTAGCAACACACTCTAACCAAATGGATCACGATGTTAACTTTGTTGGAGCGAAAATTCTCCATAGAGAGAGCAACTACAACAAAAGAGCAACTTTGGAAATGGTGGAGATCTTCTTGGAACCGAAATCGGTCAATAAAAGATCTGACATTGATGGCCTCAGTGTGATCTACTCTAATGTCTTAACTTTACAACCAACCGTCAATCGAATGGCGTTTGCTGATAATAGTGTCGTCACAATGTAATTATAATTTAGAAAAATAGTCCCAAGCCTCTATACATTAGGTGCCTTGTAAGCAAAAAGGAGGTAACAAAAGGAGAAAAAAAGAAAGGAAAAAAACTGGACGGCTGGCGGTAGTCATACTAATAAAACCTTTCCATCATTTGCGTTTTGCGTTTGAAGTAAAATTCGTTTAAATAAAATGTAATAACAATTTCGTCTAGATGGCTGCCCTCGGTTATAATAATTAACGGTCGTATTTGATTCTTTCTGTTATCCGGATGAGTTTGGTGTTGGCCTATAATGGCACTGTAGCAGTAAGTACTTTAACTAGAAGACTTTAGTATTAAATAACTAAGAGCCGCTTTCATATTGTAGCCCCTGAAGAAGAAAATAAACATTTTCGAAAGCTTGGTGTAGCACAAAAGCCTTTTATTTGAGCCCTCATCAGGACCGATACCCCAATTAACTAAAATTTGTTGTTCAACTAGCCGGTCACGACTACCGTTTTGTGTATTTTACAGGAATGGGGTTTTTCCAATCAATAAAAGCTCGATATGGAAACGAAGCAGTTTCACTGCTCAAACAATGGGCCAGGCTCGGCAGCAAACTATCATCGTTTGGAAACAGGAAGATATTCTTACTCAAATGCAGACAGACAGGGATCATACCAAGACACATTACAGACGGGACCAGAAACTTGGGCATGCTTTTGGATTTGACCGATGGACATATGGGGGACCGCATTCGGGATTTCAATACCAGGTTGAATAACAAATTAATTAATTTAGAAATATAACTCACTATTTCAACTATCAATCGTATAGAAAAATCACTGAAACAAGTAAGAGAGAAAGTTTTGACATTGATTCCGGGTGATGTTGTTGACGAATTTGGTAAAAGACAACAAGGGTCATGTGATAAAAAATTCAAAACCATCAAAAAAAAGAACATAAACAAATTTCAAAACTTGAAGTCGCAACAGCATCACTTAACAATCAAAACACAAGATAATTGGGTTAAGAATATTTCAGAGGTTGAGGTCCCGGATGATGTCTTGAGGTTTCTCTCTTTAGGTTCGAAATTTTCCGTGCCACCAAGTTGCAATGAAATCTCAGTCAAACGTTTAATTGCTGATGTAGAAACTATAATTAAAGTTGTACCAGAGAACGCAAAAAATACTGTAAGAGCTAAGTTTACTAATGTATTGACTAATTTTTTAAAACAACCGGCAAAGCGTAGCTATATAGACATTTTGTTAAAAAAGACAAAAAAATTTTTTAAGGATCACGCTGAGTTGGTCGTTTCTAGGGCCGATAAAGGGAATGTGACAGTTATTATGTCTAAAGATACATACATTCAAAAATCAAACGAAATTCTGATGGATCGGACCTATTACGAGCGTCTCAGATGTGATCCTACATCTACTTACCAACAAAAAGCTAACAAACTTGTCAAGTCATTAAAAGATCAAAAACAATTAACAAATGAGGTAGCCAAAACTTTAAATATATATAATCAAACTTGTCCTAAATTTTATGGCTTACCCAAAATACATAAACCCCAATTGTCCTTAAGACCGATAATTTCATCAATTAATGCTCCGAACAGTAAACGGGCTTCATTGTTGACTCAGGTTTTAACCAAAGCATATAATAAGAATAATGATTATTTCACAGGTGATTCATTTGAGTTTTCTTCATTTATCAATGACAAACAATTACCTAATAACTATGTTCTTGTGAGCTTGGATGTCGTCTCTTTATTTAGTAATATTCCATATAATTTGGTAGAAAAAAGTATAAAAAAACATTGGAACAGAATTAGAAACCACACTGATTTGTCACAAATTAGTTTCCTAAAGATACTTCAGTTTGTCTTTGATACAACGTATTTTAGATTTAACAATGAATTTTACAAACAAAAATTAGGTACACCGATGGGTGCCATCATTTCTCCAATATTAGCTCAATACGTTATGGATGACCTACTTGAGGTGTGCGTAGATAAGCTGTCGTTTCAGTTACCATTTCTGAAAAAATATGTGGATGATATAATTACTTCCATACCTGAAAGTTGCGTGAGGGAAACTCTCACAGTGTTTAACAGCTATGATGCACACATACAATTTACAGTAGAGGAGGAAATTGATAAAAGCGTACCATTTCTGGACACTAAAGTGATCCGTAACAACGATAACAAAATTATATTAGATTGGTACATAAAACCGACCAGTTCGGGGAGATATATGAATTTCCACTCTTACCATACAACGAAAACAAAAATAAATTTGGTCATAGCATTAAAGACACGGATCGAGAGGATTTCTCACCCATCACTAAGACAAAAAAATCTTAATAAGCTTTACGACATGCTGATTAACAACTCATACCCAAGTAGGTTAACTAAAAAATTGTTATATAGCACGACCCCACTAAGAGCTCCAAACCCGCGGAACACGGGCGTCCACTCAGATAGCCCAGAAATGGACGATCAGAGATGTTTTTATTTTTCATTGCCATACATTAAAGAATTAACGACCACACTCACAAAAATTCTGAGAGCACAAACAAATATTAAGATAGCATATAAACAAACAAAAACATTGGGGAGTGTCTTTAGCAAACTAAAAGATAAGGATGAGGTACAAAAGAATTCAGAAGTAATTTATAGCATCCCCTGTAATCAGTGTGATCAGGTATACATAGGACAGACATCGCGAGTACTTAAAGATAGAATTACGTCACACAAGAGTGATTGCAGACTCAATAAGAACACCTGTTCATTAGCAACACACTCTAACCAAATGGATCACGATGTTAACTTTGTTGGAGCGAAAATTCTCCATAGAGAGAGCAACTACAACAAAAGAGCAACTTTGGAAATGGTGGAGATCTTCTTGGAACCGAAATCGGTCAATAAAAGATCTGACATTGATGGCCTCAGTGTGATCTACTCTAATGTCTTAACTTTACAACCAACCGTCAATCGAATGGCGTTTGCTGATAATAGTGTCGTCACAATGTAATTATAATTTAGACAAATAGTCCCAAGCCTCTATACATTAGGTGCCTTGTAAGCAAAAAGGAGGTAACAAAAGGAGAAAAAAAGAAAGGAAAAAAACTGGACGGCTGGCGGTAGTCATACTAATAAAACCTTTCCATCATTTGCGTTTTGCGTTTGAAGTAAAATTCGTTTAAATAAAATGTAATAACAATTTCGTCTAGATGGCTGCCCTCGGTTATAATAATTAACGGTCTTATTTGATTCTTTCTGTTATCCGGATGAGTTTGGTGTTGGCCTATAATGGCACTGTAGCAGTAAGTACTTTAACTAGAAGACTTTAGTATTAAATAACTAAGAGCCGCTTTCATATTGTAGCCCCTGAAGAAGAAAATAAACATTTTCGAAAGCTTGGTGTAGCACAAAAGCCTTTTATTTGAGCCCTCATCAGGACCGATACCCCAATTAACTAAATTTTGTTGTTCAACTAGCCGGTCACGACTACCGTTTTGTGTATTTTACAGGAATGGGGTTTTTCCAATCAATAAAAGCTCGATATGGAAACGAAGCAGTTTCACTGCTCAAACAATGGGTCAGGCTCGGCAGCAAACTATCATCGTTTGGAAACAGGAAGATATTCTTACTCAAATGCAGACAGACAGGGATCATACCAAGACACATTACAGACGGGACCAGAAACTTGGGCATGCTTTTGGATTTGACCGATGGACATATGGGGGACCGCATTCGGGATTTCAATACCAGGTTGAATAACAAATTAATTAATTTAGAAATATCACTCACTATTTCAACTATCAATCGTATAGAAAAATCACTGAAACAAGTAAGAGAGAAAGTTTTGACATTGATTCCGGGTGATGTTGTTGACGAATTTGGTAAAAGACAACAAGGGTCATGTGATAAAAAATTCAAAACCATCAAAAAAAAGAACATAAACAAATTTCAAAACTTGAAGTCGCAACAGCATCACTTAACAATCAAAACACAAGATAATTGGGTTAAGAATATTTCAGAGGTTGAGGTCCCGGATGATGTCTTGAGGTTTCTCTCTTTAGGTTCGAAATTTTCCGTGCCACCAAGTTGCAATGAAATCTCAGTCAAACGTTTAATTGCTGATGTAGAAACTATAATTAAAGTTGTACCAGAGAACGCAAAAAATACTGTAAGAGCTAAGTTTACTAATGTATTGACTAATTTTTTAAAACAACCGGCAAAGCGTAGCTATATAGACATTTTGTTAAAAAAGACAAAAAAATTTTTTAAGGATCACGCTGAGTTGGTCGTTTCTAGGGCCGATAAAGGGAATGTGACAGTTATTATGTCTAAAGATACATACATTCAAAAATCAAACGAAATTCTGATGGATCGGACCTATTACGAGCGTCTCAGATGTGATCCTACATCTACTTACCAACAAAAAGCTAACAAACTTGTCAAGTCATTAAAAGATCAAAAACAATTAACAAATGAGGTAGCCAAAACTTTAAATATATATAATCAAACTTGTCCTAAATTTTATGGCTTACCCAAAATACATAAACCCCAATTGTCCTTAAGACCGATAATTTCATCAATTAATGCTCCGAACAGTAAACTGGCTTCATTGTTGACTCAGGTTTTAACCAAAGCATATAATAAGAATAATGATTATTTCACAGGTGATTCATTTGAGTTTTCTTCATTTATCAATGACAAACAATTACCTAATAACTATGTTCTTGTGAGCTTGGATGTCGTCTCTTTATTTAGTAATATTCCATATAATTTGGTAGAAAAAAGTATAAAAAAACATTGGAACAGAATTAGAAACCACACTGATTTGTCACAAATTAGTTTCTTAAAGATACTTCAGTTTGTCTTTGATACAACGTATTTTAGATTTAACAATGAATTTTACAAACAAAAATTAGGTACACCGATGGGTGCCATCATTTCTCCAATATTAGCTCAATACGTTATGGATGACCTACTTGAGGTGTGCGTAGATAAGCTGTCGTTTCAGTTACCATTTCTGAAAAAATATGTGGATGATATAATTACTTCCATACCTGAAAGTTGCGTGAGGGAAACTCTCACAGTGTTTAACAGCTATGATGCACACATACAATTTACAGTAGAGGAGGAAATTGATAAAAGCGTACCATTTCTGGACACTAAAGTGATCCGTAACAACGATAACAAAATTATATTAGATTGGTACATAAAACCGACCAGTTCGGGGAGATATATGAATTTCCACTCTTACCATACAACGAAAACAAAAATAAATTTGGTCATAGCATTAAAGACACGAATCGAGAGGATTTCTCACCCATCACTAAGACAAAAAAATCTTAATAAGCTTTACGACATGCTGATTAACAACTCATACCCAAGTAGGTTAACTAAAAAATTGTTATATAGCACGACCCCACTAAGAGCTCCAAACCCGCGGAACACGGGCGTCCACTCAGATAGCCCAGAAATGGACGATCAGAGATGTTTTTATTTTTCATTGCCATACATTAAAGAATTAACGACCACACTCACAAAAATTCTGAGAGCACAAACAAATATTAAGATAGCATATAAACAAACAAAAACATTGGGGAGTGTCTTTAGCAAACTAAAAGATAAGGATGAGGTACAAAAGAATTCAGAAGTAATTTATAGCATCCCCTGTAATCAGTGTGATCAGGTATACATAGGACAGACATCGCGAGTACTTAAAGATAGAATTACGTCACACAAGAGTGATTGCAGACTCAATAAGAACACCTGTTCATTAGCAACACACTCTAACCAAATGGATCACGATGTTAACTTTGTTGGAGCGAAAATTCTCCATAGAGAGAGCAACTACAACAAAAGAGCAACTTTGGAAATGGTGGAGATCTTCTTGGAACCGAAATCGGTCAATAAAAGATCTGACATTGATGGCCTCAGTGTGATCTACTCTAATGTCTTAACTTTACAACCAACCGTCAATCGAATGGCGTTTGCTGATAATAGTGTCGTCACAATGTAATTATAATTTAGAAAAATAGTCCCAAGCCTCTATACATTAGGTGCCTTGTAAGCAAAAAGGAGGTAACAAAAGGAGAAAAAAAGAAAGGAAAAAAACTGGACGGCTGGCGGTAGTCATACTAATAAAACCTTTCCATCATTTGCGTTTTGCGTTTGAAGTAAAATTCGTTTAAATAAAATGTAATAACAATTTCGTCTAGATGGCTGCCCTCGGTTATAATAATTAACGGTCGTATTTGATTCTTTCTGTTATCCGGATGAGTTTGGTGTTGGCCTATAATGGCACTGTAGCAGTAAGTACTTTAACTAGAAGACTTTAGTATTAAATAACTAAGAGCCGCTTTCATATTGTAGCCCCTGAAGAAGAAAATAAACATTTTCGAAAGCTTGGTGTAGCACAAAAGCCTTTTATTTGAGCCCTCATCAGGACCGATACCCCAATTAACTAAAATTTGTTATATATATATATATATATATATATATATATATATATATATATATATATATATATATATATATATATATATATATATATATATATAACCTATAGCTTATCGATTGGCCGCGAGTACAGCACCAAGAAGTTATTCTTCTTCCTTTCCTCGCGGTATTAAATTCTTGAACTTAACTGGCTATCTATACCCGCGCAGCGCCCTTAGGCGCTCTCATCGTGTGGTTCAAAAAGTGCCGTTGAACGCATCAGGTCATACACGTGGTGATCAATAAATTTCCTCACCACTCGAGGCACAGAGGACGCAGCACGGGCCGGCCCCTCCGGAAGGAAGACCAAAAGCGAGGTAGGGTCAGTTAAGTAATCAAAAATCTTTTGATCCTGTCTTGACTAATTTTTGCGACTCCTTGCTGTGCCAGCCGCGGCCAAAGTCCGTTTCCGCGCGGACAAAACAGACATAATGCGGGTGATGATATTTTCGACAAGTTGAAAAGTTAATATTAGAGCCAATATAACTCTAAAATATGGCGTTTTTTCACAAAGTATAATATTTACCTTTTATCAGCTGGTGTTGTTCCCAACAATCTATTGCAAAAAATACACAAAAATTCAACCTTGTTGCGGATTTCTTTTTTAAGGTTCTCTTTAATTTTATCACAAAAATTCCAGAGCAGTAAAATTTTGGTATATCTTTCAACTTCGTCGGTTTATTTTTAAATCACAACAGCGCTTGCTTGTAATTGAATATAGAAATTATTTTATTTTATCCAATTCCATATTTGGCGCGATTATTTAATATTTAATAAACGAGTTTTGTGATCATTTAGTAAGGGACACTATATTATTTGATATGTGTTGTAATTATCTGTCAGACAGAAACAGATTAGGTTTCAATCATGGTCGTCCGGTTGGAGAGCGTATATTTAGCAAAAAAAATGTCCTTTGTTATTTATTCGAGATCAGGGTTGGAGAGAAAGACTACACCGCTTAAGTTACGCTGATCACATAGTTTTTATAACTGATAGTTTATGAGAAAATAGAAATATGTCAAGAAAATTGAGAGCTTCTTGCACTAGAATCGAATTGTAAATAAATTTTAACAAAACAAAATACATGATGAATCTAGTCCAGAGCAAACATACGACAATACAAAACACAAACATTGTTAGAGATAATAAAATCTGTGCAGCATTGGCGGCAAAGAATACATTGGAGACACCGGACGAAAAATATCAAATAGGCTCAAAGAACATGAAAGATGCTTATAAGACAAATAAATTCATCAGCAGTTGACGAACACAATCACAAAACCGGACATAAAATTTTGTTGGATAAAACTAAAATTCTTGCATGTAATCAATTCTTCTTCCAACAAAATATCCGAGAGTCTATAGAAATCTATAATCAACCTAACAGTCTTAACCGCGACTCAGGTCTTTGCCTGTCACCACTCATTTAGCTCCGCCGCCCTCAATATATAAGCATGCACAGAATAAAACGCGAGCCCGTTTCAGTCAAGCTCTGAAGAAGCCAACAGGATTATTGACGAAACGTTAGCAGTTATTATATTCCATATATTACTGGATAGATACAATAACACTTATAAAGTACAATGCTTTGAACCTAAGAGTAGCCCAAAGACGAATGGAACGATCTATACTGGGAGTAATATTAAAGAATAGGATAAGAACTGAAAACACAGCTGTCATACGTAAATCCTCTAAACTAAAATGAAATAGTCCAGATGATATAGAAGAAGTAGCGGATAAAAAGAATTACAGACAGTTGGTTGAAGAAAATCCAAGACAGGTTGACAACATCTAAATGATAATCATGGTGATCAGGGCTGAAGGGGAGATAGGTGAAGTATATGAATACACTGTATGTTTCAGTAAATGTATTTGTGTTGGTTTGCAGAAATGTATGCCAAGACAAAATGGCGTTTGCTAAATTTGTTGCATAATGTAGGATTAAAAGCCGATCAAAATATTTGTGATCTAAATTTCATTAAGTGTTAAACCGTTTCAAACAAAGCGAACAAAATAATAATAATAAGACAGGCTTTTCAGGCATCTTTTTAAAGAACTGTATTTTATGGAATTCAGTATGTAATGTAGAAAGTATGCTAAACATTATTAAATGCAAAACATGTAATTTTAATTGGATCTGCTGCTGTGACCGAAAACTAAAAGGACATTTATGCAGTGTGCCTTCGAACTAGCAAAATTAAAAGTACTCCCTATGAAATTAAGCGCCAATTAAGGATCGCATTCCTGCAGTTGTGAAGCTGGTTTGTCGGAAATTCAAGCATATTGCCACAGTGTGCAAGGTATGTTTAAAGAATAAAATCAAAAGTTATTATTCCTTATTCCTTGGATTTGAAAACCGTAAGGTTCAGTTTAATTGTAAAACCGCCAATAGGATCTGATAAGTTGAGTATCCAATACGTACTCGAGCGAAAATTGGCTGAAATATTCGAACCGAGACCTAGAATCGATAAGAGAAGCAGAGGTAGGCCTGCACCAAAAAGATGGAGTGACGATGATCCAGAAAACTGGATACTCACCTTTAATTTTTAATTAATTATTCGACGGATTGAATTTTACATCAAGCTTTTTGTTATGTTATCGTATGAGATATGATATATCAGCCGTTAAAATTTTTTTTTACTCAATATTGACAGTGCCCGTTTTTCCGAATATTAAAAACAAATAAAAATACCCCGCCGATCAGACGTATCCCAGGATAAATGTTTTTGCAGATTTAATTGAGATGTTGTGTTGTAGCGGTTTCCGGCAGTATTTTATTCTAAAAGAGTTGCTCTACAAGCTCTGGCAATAATTGTAAAATGATTACAATTTGGAAACAATTAAAATAAATAATTGCAAATTAGATCAACGCAAAATTATCTTGAACCTAAACTCCTCACAGAAACGGTTGTCTTTATTGTTTTTTTACTCCCGTCTGTAAAATACCTAATTACAGGTCGATCTGGCGTGCAAGAAGCGTCACTTTACCACGTCAATTTGGTTTTCCACGGATCCGAGCCGCTTCGGACATTTCCGGGACTTTACCGCACGGGTTTGGGAGCAATAGGATGTTTTCGGAGATATTTCCGGCGCTTTGGATTTTGACGTTTGTTGTTTTGCGAAAATGTACCCAAAAACTAACGGCCGTAGAAAAAGTATAGTATGCAACAAGTTCGGTAAGCTTTTTAAGTCACTCGTTTATTAAATTCGTGAGTCAAATGCCGTTTACCGCACTTAATATACTATTTATTACAGTTCGATCGATTTTTAATAGATATATTTATTTTTTTTTTTTTTAATTAAAAGTGTCACGCAATGAAAACCTCAATATTCCGCATTATTTTTTGATAAAGGCGTCGGATATTCACCTAATTTAGCCGTGGTTGTTAGGGCTTTAAGTGATGATTCATACATTTAAAATTATTAGTTTGATTCATTTTGTCTCAAACATTTTTCAAAATGTCATGGGTAATAGAATAATGAAGGTTCTGCAGGCTGACAATCTAATTAATGAAATATAGCAAGGGTACATAAAAGGAAGATCTCAACTCAAATTGCCTTATATTCAATTTCGAAAACGTGTTGCAATCTCCTGTGAGGGGACATAACTTGCTAGGCTAGTTTCTAGATTTGTTCAAAGCTTATATGGTCGTTTTAATGTGGCCTTGAAATGGATTCAATCGTATAGGCATAAAAATTATCAGGTAGTAGTTGAAGAAACTACTGATTATTTGTATGATCAATATAAATATTTTATCAGAGATAATTTAGTTAGAGTAGTAGCAGTAGTAAAGTATTAATAAAACAAAATATGCTGATGATATTAATGTACTTGTAAGGGTAATGAATGCTGATCCTGTTCTAAAAAAACAGATACAGTAATGAGAGAGGTACGCAATTGGTTATGAAAAAATTAGTCAGTATTAAATGATAACAAAACAAATATTTGAATTGATGAACTGAGGTTTTTTAAGGTAAATAATAGTAACTTATTATGTTAAATAGCTCATCATACGATGAACGTGTCAGTTAATTTGAAATAAAATGCTATTTTGAAATCAAAATAGAAGTTTAAGACTCTAGTTTTGAGTGTCGCATCAGATATGGTATTATCTTGTATTGAAGTGGACGGAATATGGAAAAGGTACCCGAAGAGACTGTTAGGGATTATTCTTGTGATAATTATTTAGGGGGAAATTTAGAAATAACCTTTAACGGCTACTAAGAGTATGGAATTGATTTAATAATATTGTCAAAATGTTGTGGTCTGTTGATTTAATGCTAATTTACGTGCCTTTAAAAAAGCTATTAGGGATAGAATTTGTATACTACTTCAGACATTACTTTTACTTTGTGTATTTATTGCCTGTGTTATTTGCCCTTAGGATTAATTTTTATATTAGCGTTCTATTTTATGTTAGACTTTTTTTGAGTATTTCTACCGAATTTTTTAGATATTTTTTTTTCTAATTCACGTTGCTCTCTAATTGCTTTAGGAGGTCTGTTGAGTAACTTTTCTCGTATAAATAAATAAAATCCACCATAACACCAAATTATAGTCACCCTAAATATACACTTTCACTTACACAGACTGAAGAGTATTAAAATTTCACAAAATTGTACAACTCTTCAACAAATTATTGACAAAATCAAAGGTGTGGTGTTGGACACCCTAATTGATATAGATGCATATATTGTAGAAAAGTCTCTTAAGGTCATAGTTAGTTAGTGCAAATTAAAGAAGTATTTGCGCATTGTTTGTTTTAGTTTTTTCTGCGGTTATTGCTACTTATGTTTAAAAACTTGTAATCATTATTATTGCAAGGAGGTTCCGTGCGACCGGGTTGGCAACCCTGTGTGAACAATCGAGATAAAAAGGCTTTCGTTGGGTTATGCAAACGTTGCTCGCGCTAAAAGTGTCCAGGAAATCGTTACACGTGGAACAAAACAGTGGTCGATTCCCGGAAAAATACCTCCGGAAAAGTTTTATATCGAAAACATCCGTTCGAGGACGCGTCGCGCATCAAAAGGACGGCAGACGCCCACAATGTTCAAATAAATAAATTTCGTGTCCGTCGGTATCCCCCACTACGGATTTGGACTATTTTCCTGGTGAAGAGAAGTAAATTTTTTACTTTTTTTTGCCTTTGCAATCGTAACAATCAGATAATTAATCGTTTGAAGCAGGTGAAGATTTGGGTTTTAGGTTATTGCGTGTAATTTTATACTTTTAAGTATTTGATCCTTCCCACCACCGGGCATCAACGCAATATATGCTTCGCCATTTTCTGATTCTCCTGTGCACTCATCGTCGTCCGAAAAGCCCGTGAAGGTTTTCAGGTTTGTCCTGCTCATGCCTAACAGGTTATCAGTTCTGTGTTTCCTCGTTGTACACTCTGTTAATGCCTTTGAATGGACTAATCTTTCCAGCTTCCTAGCTTCATCTAGCCAATGTTGGATGTGGTCCTTTCGGTGACGTTTCTGTCTCCTTCCGCGCCAAGTTTGCCTTATTGTTTCCCTCAAGGTCATAGTCTCCAGGTATCCCTGTTAAGGTTACCTTGTTTTAGCTCCCTAACATGGATTTTAAAAAATTGGTTAGCCTTTATCCGAAAAATTTTAATTTTAAAGGACAACGAATATCAAATTAGATTTTGAAAAAGTCTTTGATAGCGTAACAATAAAGAATTCCTTACCAAATTGATTGAGGGATAGACTACTACCTAATCTCAAACATAAATATCATAGCAGAAACAACTATTAAACTAATGCAAGATACAGACAATAAATCGGGGAATTAGATAGGGGATGCGATAAGGTGATAACAATGTATAGGAACAGATAAAAGAGATGAAATACAAAGAATTATTTAACAAGCTGGTTATCGAGTGATCAAAAATACCAAGCAACCAACAAGAAGAACTAATAATTACAGTAGCAGAAACATAGGACAAACCAAAAAATTAAATAAATACAAATAAACAGAAGGATAAGATTGGCTTGGGCATCATTTGGAGAACTTTCTTATGTTCTCAAAAATTAGAAATAGCGCCAATACTTAAAAACGATAGTATTCAATCATCCCTGTCCTGTCAAACCTGGACACTTTCGACGGAAAATATGGAAAAAACATCTGGAAATAGCAGACAAAAAAAAAGGACGATTGGATCCGTAACAAGTAGCAAAACTCAAATGGATATTCGCTGGACATAGCCTGAGACAAAAAGATGACATACTGGATACCGTGGGATTAATTACAAACAGAAAAGAGGAAGACCACAGATGCGATGGTTGGATGACATAAAGAAACATGCTGGAAAAAGATCGCCCACGGTAGACGCATGACGCATATATCCAGAGGAGGATGTTTAGGGGTGACTAGATAAATAGATCGAGCCTGTGTGATGCATTCAGGTATCGTAATGGTGCGGCCCGAACACAATTCCAATTTCTTAAATATTCTAAATAATCTGATACAAGTTCGAGGCACCTGTCAAACGGCCTGCGTTGTCGCGGACGACTGCCGAGCGGGTGAAAAAAATCAACAGATGCGAACCGGAGGAGCTTTCGCGTACAAAGCGCATGAGCTTTGTCGGTAAGCGCGTGAAAACTCTAATAAGGACCCGGTGGATCGGGAAAGCGGTTCAGTCCGTTCCCGGAAAACCAGCTAGTTGCGCGAGCGCGGAAATTCGGACGCGAAGTTACCACGAACGATATTACGTGCCTCGAAAGTTGACTGTTTCGGTGACGTTAAATAAATATAACAACCCCCACGTCCAGGGTACGGATAACGTTTCACATCAGAGTAAGAGTTACAGCCTAATTAAATTTACGCGAGTCGCATTAAACGACCATGGGGTAATTAAATACCGTTAGTTGACGGTCGTAAATCAAAGTTATTAATAGAAAAGCGACGGAGATATCCCCTCGGGGGGTGAAATCACGCGAGTCGGTTTAGTGGCGATTAAAAAAAATTACGAGAGTTTACCTTAATTAATATGATACGGCGGTAAGTAATGCGATTTTACGTGAGCGTTCGGTCGATAAGACCGCGCGGGCCGCGTGACTACGTCTCAGCAAACTTTTTTCCCTTTGAAGCTACGCAAAACCGGCAATTTTCTTGGGACAATTTGGTTAAGGAGCGTATCGAGGAGCAGACCAAGCCCAGACGTCCTCTTTTCGACTTTTTCTACCCGGTTTTGAGGCAAACTTTAGACTTTAAGACCGAGTAGTATATCGCAGATTAGTAAGAAGGAATTCCTTCGGAATTCCGTAAAATTCTGCCAAAAATTACAAGAAATTTCACAAGAAATGCGAAGAGTTTGAAGAAATTATAAGAATTAAGGTTACTCTCTCCTCTGCGGTTTACTGCTATTTTAAAACTGAATCGATTGTTTAATCAATTTGTTAAAACAAATTCAATATTTACACAGTAATAATAACCAGATACAAACTTTTTTTTGTAGAAATTTGAGAAATATTTGTATTGTTAAAGTTAAGAAAGGAGCATTTTATAAATTAAAGCTTCTTTGACATTATAGACCATTTCAAAAGGTGTAGAATAATAATATTAACAAATATTGTTATTTATTTGCTAACACTGAAAATGTTGTGCAAATGGCGTCCCTGCTAGGTTACTCGTAAAAAAGAAAATATATTTTATTTTAACATAATAAATGTAGTCGTTATGTAGGTACATAGTTTCAGATACTATTATTTTTTATTAAACATACAAAAAATACATTATACGGAATATAAATTATGACAAGTCGCAATATTCTTTGCCATCTGAGAAGTTATCGTCTCCTCTTGATCTTATAATTAAGGGTGGACGGTGCGATCGAAGACCACACGTTGTCTCCTCTTCTTCGCGTAAAGCGTTCTGAAACTCGACCGTTTTATCGCTATCCAAACTTTTGAAAAATTGGAAAACGTACATTTAAATATCGCGATTGGTCAAAAAACTTCGCCTATTTTTGTTTTGTTTAAAAAAAATTATATATTACAACGTTCTAGTTCAGAAAGGAGCATTTTATCCAATAAGTCACATTTTTTTCTTTTTCTGGTGTTATCCAAAATATCTTAGTAAACTGCAATAATGGTAAATGGCTACTATAGTCTAGTTCAGAAAGGTGTAAAATATTAAAACTACACTTATTGCTTCGCATTGATTTCATGGAAAAATTCTTTCTTTTTACTGGCTGCACCGAGTCCGAGTGAATGTATGGGTTTTATCGTTCACCATAACTAAAAATGAAATAATTTAGTTTTATCGAAATAAAAATTTCTCATTAGTGTTAAGCACTTTTTTTTAGTCCAATTTATTCCAAGAAATAATTCTATATTAACAGAAGAAAAATTTGGGATTATATGTATAGAATTAGGTACCCTTATTTTTTTTAAATAAATATTGTACAAAAACGACATTATACAGAAATTTAATTATAAAAAATATCACAGTATTCATCGTCATCTGAGGAACTGTCCCCAGTTAACGTTATAATTAACTCCATGACTTGATCAAACAGTAGCTTAAGGTTTTTCATTTCCTTTCATGTGGGCCCGTATAAGTTCTATAACATTTGATTCCCAATGGTATGGCGGTGTGCGCATCTTAGTTACTTTTTCTGTTATCGGCTTTACGTCGCATTGCACAAAACGATATTTGTGTTAATTTACTATATAAAATAGATTTGGTTAGTTTGGATGTTTGTGTAAATTTGATATAGGTAATAGTTACTTCTTAGTAGTAGTAAACCCGTAGATAATTTCTTGTTACTTTCGAAAAATCTCGATAGCGGTAGGTCCTACGGGACTGCCATTGGTAAAAAAATGGTCAGCGTCGAAAAAAAAATATTTTTTTGACTATCCGTTCTCCGTTCTTTGTTTAACAGTTCACGGAGTTTTCGTCGTGGAAAACGAATTTGATTTTTTAAAAAACTTTATTCAAGCGAGATGACAAAAAAGCTAGCGACGTGGTTCGCACCGTGGTTTTATACAGACAAATTGCTGACGCTTTGAGAAACAAGTAATATAATATGTATGGGAACCTTTACTCAGCAGTTTACAGTATTAAAGCGTTTATAACTCCTCCGCCCTTAGATAAAAGCACGGGTACAACAAGTGCTTTTAAATAACAATATTTTCTTTTTGTTTATTAATTTTAGATTTAAATGGAAAATATTTATATAATAAATAAATCAAGATTAATATAAGTATTACGTATAACAAAATTGTCCAAACACTAGTTCTCGTAGAATATATACGTGATGACATCTTTCCAAGGTTTTCTTTTGCTTCATCCATTTGGATTTGCAGCTCCTTTATTTCCTTTAGGTTAATCGTGTCCAATGTGAGTTCTGGTGGATCGAAGATTATTTTCTGTTTATGTAGTAGTGAGAGATTCACTTCCGGTAGACGAGTGTCATCAAATCTCAATCGATTAGGGGTATAGGTTCTTAGTTCAGTTTTTCCAATTTGTACTTTGCAAATTGGGGAGGATTCGATAAGGTGGGATCCAAATAATGGAACAGTATTAATGTCGTCATTACATTGTACTGTTGCTATTATCTTCTTAGGTGTCACAATAATCCATTTTCCATTTTGGATTTTAAAAATTTTTATTTCTTGAAGTTGGATTTTAATTGGTTTACAGTTTGTTATATTAGTCTTGTGAGTTATTATTTCCACTGAACAAGGCGGGTGTTCCTTCATATAGGTAATATGTATATTTTTACACATGAACTCATTTTTTAATAGTTTTACGCATTCAGAGTCCATAAATGAGTACATATTTCCACTCAATGCAAGATATGGTTTGACCGGTATATTAACGTAATATTGCAGTTCTTGTTCACTATTAACTGGTAGCGGATACAACTGGTAATATTGATAAATTTCTGATTCTAGTAGCGGTAGTTCCAAAATAAATGTTATTATTAGTCCTCTAGAGTAGCTTTTTATTTCTATAATTTTTTCAAAATTTAATATATTTTCGATAGATAACTCGAACGGCAGTTGATTTTCTTTTAATTCTTTTTTTATGTTTTTAATTTCTTCGAATAGATCAGACGGATCAATTATCGAATTATGTAAAGTGTTTAATTTGGCAAAACTAATTGCGGTTTCAATTTTCTCAAAAATATTATATATTAAATTATACATAAAGGTAATTTGATTCATTACTACATGTATTTGGAAATACTCATAGTCATTCGTTTGTTCAATGGTTATCTTTTTAATTACTTGATCAATTTGTAATATTTTAGATTTAAGGATAAGTTGGTTATGAGAAATATTTGATATCGAATTTTTAAATGAGTTGATTGTTTTTTCTAACAGTTTTATTTGATTAATTGAATTGATTCTTAAATTATTTTGGTTTTCTTGCAGTTGTTTGATTTCTACATCGTATTTTTCCGCATCAGATTGGTCTAAGTTTCCAGTAATACATTTAATAATAGAACCGATTGGGTTTAATAAGCCTCTTTTACTTCTTATAGATAATGGATTGAGTTGACTAATTTGATTTTCAATGCGTTTTTCTAATGTTACAAGAGGGATGACTGAATTAGAATATTCGTGAAAATAATTAGTATTATTTTTAATCTGACTAATTAATATTTTTACTTGATTATAGATTACATAGAATTCAGCAACAGCTGGGTTTAAATCAAAAATTTGTATAAAGGAAAAATGGTTGGAGGTTATTTTTGCGGTACCTAGTTTATAAGGAAGGATTCCTGGATAGTTGTTCAGGTTGTGGATTTTTACTTCGTTTGCTCCGATGTTTGTGAGCCATCTGGAACAATGTTCATTATTTTAGTCTCGTTAACGTGAGTTATTTCTTTTTTATTTGTTTTTGGGTTTTCTATTTCAATTTTATTGTTATCTAAAATTTTTGTTAATATGAATGGTCCAGAAAATTTTTTGTTTAATTTACTTTTTCGACTTTCGGTGCGCTTATACACTGTTGCGCCAATTTTTAGTTCTACTGGAGTTTTGTTTTTGTTAATTTTATCGATCGTTTTTTGTTTTTTTAAAAGGGAATCATTATGTACCTTTTCGTAAAGAAGCTTAGTATTTGTTTGATGGTTATTTACGTATTCACAATATATTTGAGAAGGAATTAGGTTCATAGGGTCACGTGTATCAGTGTGTCCTAGTGTTAATTCAAAAGGCGTAAAATTAGTATTTGAGTGTATAGTACTGTTATATGCAATGATCGCATAGGGCATAAGTGAAATAATATCGGAATTTTTATCTATTTCTTTCAATAGGCGTAAGTGTTCGATGAGGGTTGAGTGAAAACGTTCGATAGGTGAATTAGATTCGTGGTGACTCGGCGTTGTGAAATGGATTTTAATTTTATGTATTTTTAATAAAGAGTCTAGGACGTCATTTTTAAATTCTGTTCCGTTGTCAGAAACAATTTGTTTTGGTATTCCATAGAATGAAAAGAAATGTACTAATTGTTGACATGCTGAAATCGCAGTTCCAAAATAGGGCAATGCCTGTCCAAACTTAGAGAATTTGTCAATTATAGTTAAGAATTTTTGTCCGCCGGCAATAAAGGTATCGACGTGTATAATTTCAAATGGTTTAGAGGGTGTTTCAGTTAACATTAAAGGTTGATCTGGTGGTTTTCGTTGATATTTTGCTCGCTGGCAAATTTCACATTCGTTAATATATTTTGTAACATCTGACTTTAAGGATTTCCAGTAATAATTATTTTTTAAGAATTTACAAGTTTCTTCTATGCCTCTGTGATTAGTTTTACCTTCATGTTTATATTTAATTAATATA